TCGTATTACTTAAAGCTGGGTATAGGATCAATATAATAGTGTATTATAAATACCATCACAAACCGAAAATATTCTACCTATGTATGTATATTGGGGTAGGATATAAAGGACTTAAAGTTATTTTAAGTTTAAATCTTAAAGGACTCTCAGATTCCCTGCTGATTTAGCTTAAAGAATTTTATATTTATTTTTTGTTTTCACTTTTAGAATACGAAATAATAAAAAAAAGGTATTCAAAGGACTTTTTTTTAAGGGAGTCCTTACCAAAACTCTTTATATTCTTAAAAAAACAAAAATAAATTTAAAAAAATTCAATAATTAAGTGTGAAAAGTTTTTATCGTTTAATCTCATCAAGTGACAGAAATTACAACAAATAACTATAAAAATTGTAAATTGTATTTTCATAAAAATGTTCAAAACAAAAGAAAAAGGAAAACGTCATGACCATTTAAAAGGATTAAAGAGAATTAAGAAAAGAAACGTGTTTTCAAAAAATAAAATAATTAAGTATTTTTGGGAAGTATATTCAATAACAAGCTAAGCTATTAGAAAAGTATATGTATATACATCACCAGTTATGTGACACCCAGCAAAAACTTACATTGAAAAATAACGTTTTTTATTACTTCTTTATAATTGAAGTGAGTAACTATTACACTGGCTAACAAATAACTAGTTAAATAAGTACTTTAAAATAAGGAGTTACAAAGTGGGATCAAATAAAAGTAATGCAGACGGTATGTAATAGGCTTGAAAAGTAAGTGTATCTTTTAGTACTTATCATCACCAAGTTTTTGCTGGGATCCTACTGTTGCTGTTAATAACTAAATTATTCAAATATTTCAATATTATAAAATATCTATCTTAAAATTTGTGAGAGGAAATTTTATCTACTTAAATATTTTATAGTCTACAAGTTTTAAGTAAAATGACTTCAAATATTTTAAGTAGCATTGTCCAAGTATTTGTATCATCATCATTTTTCTTAAAATATAAAACATTCATATTTCTCTTAGTAAAGTCCTTTCAAAATATTTGATTATTAAAATTTAATAACATTTCCTTAAGGCAATACAGAAAGAAATAAAATAACCAAGTACACTACTTTATATTAATGTTATTTATTTATAAATATTTTAGCATAAAATTCTAAAATTCATTTTACTATAAAGTAAATGTACTCCATGGAATTGCTATACATTCGAGAACTAAAAACAAACTTGAAACCATTAAGTTGTTTGTTTAAAGTGCTAATTAAAATTAGATTTACTGGCCCCATTAAAATAGTACAGAAAAAAAGGAAATTATACTCATAAACTACAACTACAACAAAAAAGGTTTTCCTTGAAACACAAAACATTTGTATTTGAATTGTTGAAATCCCTCATGTGATGGCTATAATAAAAAGTTAAAATAAAGCAAAAACCTTTAAGGAATTGTCAAATGCGCAATACATCCGTTACACACACACACACAATTGAGTAAATAAATATCCGGTAGTTTTACTAGGAAGCAAAGTATCCTTTTTCTTAAAGGTTTTCCAATATTTAGTTCTTTAACTCATACGATTTCTTTGTAATAGAAATAAACGCCAATTAAGTATCCCCTAGTAATCAAGCAGGTAGTCAATCATCTTTTTAGTATCACTCAATTAACACTTTAAACCGTTTAGAAAGTATACAGTCAATTTTCTACTTTGAACTACATAGTCTTACTTCCTCCTAGATAAAATAACTAGTTTGATACCGTCACTTCGAACTAAAAGATATTGACTCTCACACTAACACACACACATACATAAACAAGCAAAAGCAAACATTATTTAAACTTTTTTATTAAAAAAAAATAAACTGTTTATTTGTTCTTACTAATTGTTTACTTTGCAGTTTCTTTATTTTTATTAATTTGAACAGTTTTTATTTTCTTCTTATTCTTCTCCTCATATTACTCACTTTCTTAAAAAAAAACACGTTTTAAAAAGTTCTTAACTTTAAAAACTTCTTTCGAACATGTCCAGCAAATATAATTTAAAAATCATAAACAATTTTATCTAAGGTTTCTTCCTTCTAACACATCACGTTGAAAACAATTATATTAATCTTTTTAGAAAATTATTTTACTTTATTATTTTATGTAATTAGTGGTAATTGAAACCATAATGCCACTAAATACTGGAAAAGCACGGTAACAAGTTGTTGTACATAATTGTTAACGTACTAAATCCATTATATACAAAAAGGTGGGAGTTGGTGTTAACTACTTGTAATTGCATTGGAAAGTATAGTTTGTTTAACTTTCCTAAAGTTGCTTTATCGAATCATATTACGCGGTTACCAACCAAGTGTTTGAGGTTTGTTCTTAATACATGATTCATTTCTTTTGTGTAACCTTATCGTCGTGACCACGAATCTAAATTTAATTTCTTTGACATTTTGTTTTCCTTATTAGTTGTCTCAATCAGAGCAACTTTTTCTATACAAAAGTTGTCTCAATTAGAGCAACTTTACCTAAAAAATATTGTCACAATCAGAGAATGGTTTTTTTAAAGAAAAGTTGTCCCAATCAGAGAAACTTTTTCTATGGGAAAGTTATCTCAATCAGAGCAACATTTCCTATAGAAAAGTTGTTTCAATCATAGAAACTTATTCCATAGAAAAATTGCCTCAATCAGAGCAACTTTTTCTATAGAAAAATTGCCTCAATCAGAGCAACTTTTTCTATAGAAAAATTGCCTCAATCAGAGCAACTTTTTCTATAGAAAAATTGCCTCAATCAGAGCAACTTTTTCTATAGAAAAGTTGTCTCAATCAGAGAAACTTTTTCTATAGAAAAGTTGTCTCAATCAGAGAAACTTTTTCTATAGAAAAGTTATCTCAATCAGAGAAACTTTTTCTATAGAAAAGTTGTCTCAATCAGAGCTACTTTCTCTACAGAAAAGTTGTCCAAATCAGACTATCTTTTTCCACAGAAAAGTTATCTCAATCAGAGTAACCTTTTTTACAGAAAAATTGTGTGAATCAGATCAACTTTTTCTATAGAAAAGTTCTCTGAATCAGAGAAACTTTTTCTATAGAAAAAATGTCCCAATTAGAGAAACTTTTTCTATAGAAAAGTTATCTCAATTAAAGAAACTTTTTCTATAGAAAAGTTGTCTCAATTAAAGAAACTTTTTCTATAGAAAAGTTGTCTCAATTAAAGAAACTTTTTCTATAGAAAAGTTGTCTCAATTAAAGAAACTTTTTCTATAGAAAAGTTGTCTCAATCAGAGAAACTTTTTCTATAGAAAAGTTGTCTCAATCAGAGAAACTTTTTCAATAGAAAAGTTGTCTCAATCAGAGAAACTTTTTCAATAGAAAAGTTGTCTCAATCAGAGAAACTTTTTCTATAGAAAAGTTGTCTCAATCAGAGAAACTTTTTCTATAGAAAAGTTGTCTCAATCAGAGAAACTTTTTCTATAGAAAAGTTGTCCAAATCAGACTATCTTTTTCCACAGAAAAGTTATCTCAATCAGAGTAACTTTTTCTACAGAAAAATTGTCTGAATCAGATCAACTTTTTCTATAGAAAAGTTCTCGAATCAGAGAAACTTTTTCTATAGAAAAGTTGTCCCAATTAGAGAAACTTTTTCTATAGAAAATTTATCTCAATTAAAGAAACTTTTTCTATAGAAAAGTTGTCTCAATCAGAGAAACTTTTTCTATAGAAAAGTTGTCTCAATTAAAGAAACTTTTTCTATAGAAAAGTTGTCTCAATTAAAGAAACTTTTTCTATAGAAAAGTCTCAATCAGAGCAACTTTTTCTATAGAAAAGTTGTCTGATTCAGAGAAACTTTTTCTATAGAAAAGTTGTCTCAATCAGAGAAACTTTTTCTATAGAAAAGTTGTCTCAATCGGAGAAACTTTTTCTATAGAAAAGTTGTCTCAATCAGAGAAACTTTTTCAATAGAAATGTTGTTTTAATCAGAGCAACTTTTTCTACAGAAAAGTTGTCTCAATCAGAGCAACTTTTTCTACAGAAAAGTTGTCTCAATCAGACTAACTTTTGCTATAGAAAAGTTGTCTCAATCAAACTAACTTTTCCTATAGAAAAGTTGTCTCAATCAGACGAACTTTTTCTATAGAAAAGTTGTCTCAATCAGATGAACTTTTTCTATAGAAAAGTTGTCTCAATCAGACGAACTTTTTCTATAGAAAAGTTGTCTCAATCAGACGAACTTTTTCTATAGAAAAGTTGTCTCAGAGAAGCTTTTTTCTAGAAAAGTTGTCTCAATCCGATGAACGAATTAGAATTAGACTAACTCATGGACCCAGTTCATCTATTATTTTGCAAGTAAAATCGAAACTTTTAAATCTTTCATAATACATTATAATTTTTTCCATTTATTTAAACAATTTTGTTACATTAAAGCCAAAATACATTTAACATTTAAAGACAACACGAAAATAATCTAACAAACATAACATTAACTAAATAATGCTAATGTTTGAATTACAAATTATTGAATTGATATTTACTAATATAACAACAATTACTATTCTAACAAATTACTATTAAAAAAAAATCTTAAGACATTTACAAAAAAACTCATTAATAACAAACAAAAATACATAAACATTTAAGGATACGTTAGGACGAAATATGTCAAACTCCTGCTATAAAGGATGGTTACATTTTTGTGGATTTTACTATTAGGGGTACCATTAAGGATGGTCACCATTGTTTGATTTCCTATGATTGGTTTTATTCTTTTACTTTATTTTTGTTTTTGTTTTTACCAAGCCATACTGGTACTCTGGCACAGAAACTTTTTTTATACGGGATAACTTTCCTCTGCACACTACTAACGCATGAAGCTTATGGAACAACAACACAGAACAGAAACCATTTATGGAGAAGTTATCCTTTGGAAAGTTTTTTAGTTTATTTTTTTATGCAAGTTAAGTTTTCTTGCTTTTTTTTTTTAATTTCTATTTTGCCATTCTACCCTCATAGTTTGTAGATTGTTTGATTTTGTTGGGTTTTGAGGTGTGTAGAAGGGTCGGTTAGGGTTTGCTTTTTTGATATTTTCTTTGTGATTAGCTCCGTTTTCAATACAACAGCTTTTAGAACTTTTTTCCAATTCATTATATCATTAACATTGTATTCTTTTACTTGCACTACTTTGTATTTAGTTTTATAGTTCTATTTTATAGTTTAGGGAGTTTATGCGTGGGAGAATTGCTTAAATAGAAAACTTAATATTACAGGTAATTTTGATAACACACTTTCGAGAACTTAATTTGTTTTTGTTTTTTTGGTAAAACATTTGAAAATTATGACGACAATTAATTGAATTTATTTTTTCTGTTTTTTGCAATTAGTTTAGTTTTATGTATCACAGCAATAATTAATTTTGTGTAGCATCCTCAGACTTCTTTTCTTCTTTCTAGCAACATTTGAAAAATTTTTTTAAATCGATTTTATTTGTATATATTCAATATACAATTAGCAAATTATTTTCATTAAAACCGGCAGAATGTCCAGCATTTCGAACAATGAAACAGGAACCATCAAAATGCATACGTTTCTCATTGCGCCTAAAAAAGGATGAAACGCACAAAATTTTTATAGAAAAAGTTGCAGAGAATATGTTTCTCTGATTCAGACGACCTTTCTATGGAAAAAGTTGCACTAAAACACATTACTTTTCTATAGTAAAAGTTGCTCTGATTGAGACAACTTTTCCATGGACAAAGTTGTTCTGATTGAGACAACTTTTCTATGGAAAAAGTTACTCTGAAACGGACAGCTTTTCTATAAGAAAAAGTTGCTCTGATACAGACAACATTCTTTAGAAAAAGTTGCTCTGATACAGACAACTTTTCTGTAGAAAAAGTTGCTCTGATATAGACAACTTTTCTATAGATAAAGTTGCTCTGATACAGACAACTTTTCTGTAAAAAAAGTTGCTCTGATACAGACAACTTTTCTAATGAAAATGTTGCTCTGATACAGACAACTATTTTGTAGGAAAAGTTGCTCTGATACAGATAACTTTTCTATAGAAAAAGGTGTTCTGATTAAGACAACTTTTCTATAGAAAAATTTGCTCTGATACAGACAACTTTTCTGTACAAAAAGTTGCGCTGATAAAGACAACGTTTCTATTGAAAATGTTGCTCTGATACAGACAACTATTTTGTAGAAAAAGTTGCTCTGATTGAGTCATTTTTTCTATAGAAAAAGTTGCTCTGATTGAAATAACTTCTTCTGGTAATTGTATAGAAAAAATTAGTTTTTGTACAATCTGTTTTAAAAACTTTAATTACCTGACAAATAAATGTGAAGTTTTACCCAACGAGGCGGTACAGTGAATACCAGGTGTAGTCAAAGTAGCCGAACCATTACCGGGACTAGTACGTATAAGACATTTGCTATGGATACGCGTTAATCTGAAAATGTATCATTATAATCTCTTATACACATTTCTTCTTAGAAAGTATTTTTCAAAATTGTTCTTACTTGACAAGACCATCAGCAGCTTGAGTAATGCGAAAACCATTGATGTCATATATTTCAGTACCCTCATCGGTACAGGTGTAAGAAGAGTTTTGAATTACTTCATTAGCATCTTGAACATAAGAAGGACCATGACGAGAGTCACTAAAGAAATATAAAATTGATTGATTTTTATAAAATATAGAAAATGCTTTCTTTAAATTTTTAAACTTACTCATAGAAAACTGTTAGTGTATAGTCTTTGGTTAAATCTGTAAAAGTATCGGTAGTGGTGCGAGTACCAGCTGTATCCACTAAATAGATTAAAGCACACGATTCACTGGTAAAACTGACACCTTTGTACCACATCTTGGCATAACGACTGTTAATTACATTCAAATATTTTAATCAAAATTTGCTTGTTTTCCTAAAAAATTAAACAATTAAAAACTCACACATAATTATTAGTCTTCATGCCATCATATGTGACAATCTCAACTTTTGAACCACTTTGTAAAATACGTCCATTGGGATGAATCAAAGCCGTATTGCTACAATTTCGAGACAAGGCAATGGCCACCATACTGCGTTGATTCAAAACTCTTACAGCTTTATCCAAAGTCATATCGATGCTGATATACAAAAAAATATATATTATAAAATTACTTTTCATCTGAATAACAAATATTAAATTTACCGTATGCCATCACGTAAACGCAACTGTATTGTGCCATTAGTCATGGCTATTGGTCCAGCACCTGGACAGGGTGGTGGTGTAGGATTCTTATATTCAACGCCTCCGCGATGACTGGCACTCAAACGGCCAACAGCATAAGGTGGTGGCGGCATGGGCTGGGGAAACTGTTGAGCATGAGGTGAAGGTGATAGGGTGGTCGGCTGTAAAGTAGTATTTTTAACTAAATGTCAAATATTTTCTTATTTCAACTTACCATCCTACAAATATCATTTTCAAAACCATAAATGGGTGAAGGTGGTGGTGCCACCGGATAACGTGTATTAAAAACACCACGTGTCATGCCACCACTACGACCAGTAATAGGCGACTCATAACCGCCATAGTGATGCGGTGACGCAGAGCTCATATGCACCGGTATCGGCATTTGTCTTGTTGGCATGGAGCTGGATGGTGTTGATGTGTCTTTAGGTGTCATACCGCTTGATCCAGAAATGCGATGTTGTTGTGAGACAAATGGTGCAGCGCTGGCATTAAAACGGGATGGCTAGAAATTAGAAAAAAATATTTTTTAGAAAAATCTTTATAGTAGAGTAGCTCTGATATGGACTATTTTTCTAAAGACGAAGTTGCTCTAAGTCAGACAAATCTTCTATAGAAAAGGTTCTTCTGATTCAGACAACTATTCTATGGAAATAGCTCTTGTATAGAAAAACTTGATCAGATAACTTTTCTATAGAAAAAGTCGATCTAATTTAGACAGCTTTTCTATAGAAAAAGTTGATTTGATTCAGATAACTTTTCTATAAAGAAAATTGATCAGGATTCAGACAACTTTTCTATAGAAAAGGTTAATCTGATTCAGACAACTCTTCTATAGAAAAGGTTAATCTGATTCAGACAACTTTTCTATAGAAAAAGTTAATCTGATTCAGACAACTTTTCTATAGAAAAAGTTAATCTGATTCAGACAACTTTTCTATAGAAAAAGTTAATCTGATTCAGACAACTTTTCTATAGAAAAAGTTCATCTGATTCAGACAACTTTTCTATAGAAAAAGTTCATCTGATTCAGACAACTTTTCTATAGAAAAAGTTCATCTGATTCAGACAACTTTTCTATAGAAAAAGTTAGTCTGATTCAGACAACTTTTCTATAGAAAAAGTTCATCTGATTCAGACAACTTTTCTGTAGAAAAAGTTCATCTGGTTCAGACAACTTTTCTGTAGAAAAAGTTCATCTGGTTCAGACAACTTTTCTGTAGAAAATGTTCATCTGATTCAGACAACTTTTCTGTAGAAAAAGTTCATCTGATTCAGACAACTTTTCTGTAGAAAAAGTTCATCTGGTTCAGACAACTTTTCTATAGAAAATGTTTATCTGATTCAGACAAAATTTCAATAGAAAAAGTTAATCTGATTCAGACAACTTTTCTATAGAAAAAGTTAATCTTATTCAGACAACTTTTCTATAGAAAAGTTTAATCTGATTCAGACAACTTTTCTATGGAAAATGTTAATCTGATTCAGACAACTTTTCTATAGAAGTTGCTCTAATTCGAATAACTTTTCTATAGGAGAAGTTGCTCTAATACGGATATCTTTTCCTTAGAAAAAGTATCTCTGATTTGGATAACTTTTCTCTAGAAAAAGTTTCTGATTCGGATAACTTTTTCCTAGAAAAAGTTCCTGCGATTGGAATAACTTTTCTATAGAAAAAAGTTGATCTGATTCGGACAAAACTAGTAAAAGTTGTTCTGATTCCGACAACTTTTCTGTAGTAAAAGTTGTTCTTTTCTATAGAATAAGTTAATTTACTCTTGAAAAACTTACAGCTGTTATTGAGGTAAATACCGAACGTTGACGAGTGCCATTTGGTGTTTTAGTGGGTGACCTGAGCAAATAGTTAATTTTCTCATTCATATTGACACGCGCTAGAAATTCCTCAGTATTAAAAGCGTTAATACTGGACACCGGAAGAGGTGTAACTTTTTGCGATTCCACTTGTGGTTTTTGTTTCTCTTCCGTTTGTTCCTTTGACACAGCATTAGTATCTTGATTTTCAGTATTCATTTTTTAAATTTGATATCCGTTATATTTTATTTATAAATTTAATCTGCTTAATATGATTGCACAACGAAGATAAGAAGAAACTTGACAGGAGTTTTTTTTTTATTGAGGAGGAGTTTGAGAAAATAAAAAAAATGAAATTTTAATTTTTATGACATGCGACTTCTGGCTTAAAAAATTTTCAACTGATTTGAATTGTTGAAAAATATTCTACAAGAAAAAAAAATAATTGACAAAGTATTCAATGATTCAAAATTAAAATAAATTTTCTTTTGATAAAGTCAAGTAAACAGCTGATTTCCATTTTCCAATAAACATTTTTTTAAAAATACACTCAGACAAATTTCAAAATAAATTTGAAGGCTTTTTAAAAGAAATCTATATAATTGAATAAGAAATTATGTAAATTTAAGTGCAGAGAAACATCTTTTGTTTTGTTATAATTTCCAAGAAATGTTGTTGCTACTGCAGCTGCTGTTATTATCGTTTTATCTTTAAAGAGCTATTTGGTTTATTTTTCATCATGTTTATTGCATACAAAATTTTTAATTTATTTTTTTTTATTTATGTATCTTATTTTCTATTATTATTGTTGTTGTTTGCCAATTTGAATTAAATGGGAAAAGGAGAGCTTTTGCAAAAACCTCTATATCAATTCAATACAATTTTGTTTTACTACAGTCAAAACCGCTTAAAACGAATTCTGGATTCTGATAAAACAAACTACTTTTTCAGTCCTTCAAGTATAATTTAATATGA